TAAAATCTTCAAACAACTTCTTCTCAATAACCAAAAGGCCCAGGGTACTGATATAAGGCCTGTAGCATGCTGGGATGAAGGGCTACCAAGTTTGTTCAAATGAATGACCTTGACCCACTTTCAAGGTCACTGGGGTCAGATGTCTTAAAATCTTCAAACAACTTCTCCTCAATAACCGAAAGGCCAAGGGTACTTATATCGGGCCTGTAGCATGCTGGGATGAAGGGCTACCAAGTTTTAGGTCCCATTCTGTTTTAATATAGACTACTGTACATGTTAATTATAATATTATGCCAAATGAAAAATATTGTTAATATCCAGTAACCCTCTACCTACATTTTTTATTTTTTTTGTGCCTACCCAAAACATTTTTTAAGTTTTCAAGGAAACACTGTTAAAGTCAATGCTTCACTGAACCCTATAAAAAATTGAAATTCCTTATCTATCTATCTACCTAACCTAATGTTTTCAGACATGTAACATGTTTGGTTTTTGCTGAGGAAATCCACTGAACATAATTTTGTTGCAAAATACAAACACAATTTTCAATATTGTACAGATATTGGAAAAGCTTATGCAAATGAAGAAGGAATTAGCAAGAAAAGAAAAAAAACTTAAGGTATGTGATCCATTTCATTCTATAAGTATAAACTATCTGATCTACATTGTGTAGTGTAATTTTATGAACATTTATATACATGTGTAATGAGGAAACATTGTGTCTAAAATAATATAACAGAAGCTGAACTCTGATATAAGCCTCACAAATCAGATTATTATATCAAGTCAGTAACCCACTTAATGACCAAATAAATTATGTCAATGGCTTTGCTAAATGGTTGCTTATAGATTTACATCTGTCTGTCTCTAATTAATAATGACAGTATAGTGCAATATATGAGCACTAGATATGAACAGGACATGACATCATTATCAATTTATATTTTAATGTTGCAATCACTGATCGTTACTGATAGTATTTTATCAGTACATGACATGGATAAGTATTACAATGGGTTTATGAGATATTAAGTGGGATCACTGTCAAACTTAGAACATCAATTGTGTCTGTATTTTTTTTAAATTACCCCTCATAAGAATGTATCTAATTTCATAAGAATGTATGTAATTCTGTTTTCTCCCTCAGAAATGTGTCCGAGCAACCTCCGCCAAGGAGTATGTTAAAAGAAGGCTGAGAGAACAAGAGGTGCTGGAGGTGAAGACTTCTGCTGTTCACTTGACCTCTGACCTTTGTCTGCCTGCAGCTCTCCCACAGAAAACCTCTTTACTTGATCGTTCAAATAAAACCAGTCCTTTTGTGTCAATATCTCCCAATCACTGCAGAATTACTCAATCTCTGGACTTGGCAACTGAACCTGGACCAGCAGGTAACATTACTGTGGATACTCATGGATCTACTGGTGTATTGACAACAAGCCAACATGAAGGCTCAGATACAAATACCGTGAAATCTGGTAGCTTTCCTGACAATGCTGTGGAGAGAACTTCTCAACCCTCTGTCTTTGGTGACAGAAATGTGGAAACAGTTTCTGTTAACAGAATGACATGCTTACAACCTGATCAGCAAAAATCTGAAGACAATGGAAAACATTTCTTCCAAAACAACAGAACGGAAGATGTAGTCTGTGCAAATACTTATAGGCTTGGTACCAACTCTAAAGCCGAAATTCTCTTTTCAGAATCTGGCTCTGACAAAGGCTTGAGCTGGAACTCTTCAGGTGAGTCGGTTTCTAGTGCTGAACATCAAGGTAGGAGATCTTTGTCTTTAAAGCGTAAAAGAAATATCAGTAGCAATGTTTCACCTCCTAAAGGCAACAAATGTGAGCAACAAACATTTAACACACACTTAGCAAGGTCAAAGGGTATGGTGAGTACTACAGCTTTTATCACACATGTACCTGTTAACCTTCCTGATCACAGTGTGGTAGGAAATGTACAGACAGCAAAGAACAATGGAAGAATATCGAACATTACAGACTCTTCCTTATCAAATGATGATGAAAAGATACCAGCGATTATATGTAAACAAAAAGAGCCAATCAGCATGTCAACACAAGAACATCCTGTAGGGAAGAACCCGGAACACCACATGGGGAGGCCAAAGAAACCAGAACATCCCATGGGGAGGCCAAAGACACCAGAACATCCCATGGGGAGGTTGAAGAAACCAGAACATCCCATGGGGAGGTTGAAGAAACCAGAACCAGAATCTAATATCAAGAATCAAGAAGGGTCAGAAAACAGCAGAGTCAAGAGAAAGTGTGTGAAAAGAAGACGGAGGACAATTGGTAGAATTTTGGATGTTGATTTAGAAAAGGATATAAATTTCTCTGCCAATTCAGAATCCTCTCAAAACTGTGAAGAGTATGAAACACTGCGGTTGATACAGCAGAGCTATCGATTAGGGGTGGACTACTCTACCCGACACGGTAAAACTCACAACCTCCCCTCAATGCTCTCATCGATATTTCAGTATTTTATTGATGAAAATCGGCGACAAAAAGACCCTTGTGATTTTAGTCTTCCAGAAGATCAGTTTGGAAGGTTGATGAGAAAACGCTTAAAAGAGATAACGTTGGAATTTTCAAATAACTCTCAACATGAGGAGGAGATTCCCAGAACGGAACTTCACATGGATGAGTCAGGGCTTAATTCCATAGAAACTTCACAGGGTTTGTTCCATCCTAATAGACAAGGAATGGAGTCAACAGCATCATTAACAGATCATCCTAGAAAGCTGAAAATAAAGAGCGATAAAGTTAAGGAAACACAAAGTGTGAACAATTTTGCATCATCCCATCAGCATTGCCGAGCTGTCCCTAAAGCAGCGGTAGATGTGCATGGGGAAGAGATTGTTGGGATCACTGATACTTGTCCTGTTATGTCTGTACAGTGTCCACCAGTCTTAACATGTGACCACACCCGGCAGGAACACAGCAAAGGCTATTGGAATACAAGTTCAGATTGTTGGTGTAAAAAACAACCATCAGAAAACCAAAATAGTTTAGCATATAACAAAAACATGAAATTGTCAAGCAATTGTTTTGAGAGTCAAGAAACACCAAAGAGTGACACTGAGAGCTGTGTTTACAGTGAAGAATTTATTCCCATGTCACCAGCTCTGTTTGCCTCCCCACCTGATGGCCTGGGAACTGAGGATTCTTTGTCTGTAGGAGACTGGGACTCCCAGGATAGCCAACTCATCCACACTCGCAGATCAAACAAGGGGGAGAAGCTCAAACATCTCGGCTGCATCAAGGTAATCACAAACCGAACAAGTGGGCAAGGCTCAAACATCTGGTCTTTAATGTGTGTACAAGGTAGTCACAGATCTAACAAGGGGAGAGTACTCAGATATTTTTACTTGGTTGTGTCAAGGTAATCAAAGATAAAGAAAGGGGAAATTACTCGAGGTAATCACTAATGTTAAACATTTTAAATTCGTTTTTGGTTTCTATATATCTTGATCGGAAACTGAAATTATATGTTTGTCAAAGTACTGAAATTTGGTGTTACAAATCCAGGGGGCTTAATTAGTCCTCCGAGGTTGTAAGTGCTGGGCTTACTTCTTAATATCATATCTTTTAATGATATGCTTGTCTGTCCCCATTTTTGATTTCAACATATGTAATAATTGCAGTACCTATTGATCCTTCAAACTCAATAATTTCATGCAGAGCTTCCTAATCCTTGCCAAGAGTACTGGCTTGAGATTGTTACTATAAACAGTTTGCACACCACAAGTTAATTTTCTTTCGGCCATTCTCCTTTTGAGAGCACTTCCTTGGAATCACTTTTCAAGTCAATGTCTTAATCAGTGACTTGACAGTTCATTGTGCTTAGTTGTATTTCTTATCTAGATATTTTTTCATAGTCTGTGATAAACGCAGTGAAGTAAGAGGTGATCAAAGCAAAATTACATTTAAATGTAATTGACCTTCTCCAGGCCCCAGGATCATGAAAAATCTTAAGTCTAAAACTATCTTAAGTTTTGCCTTAGCCAATCACAAATAACGTCGCAAAAAGTGACGTCATACGTGATTGGCTAAGCAAAAACTTAAGTCTTAGATTGTTTCATTATCCCAGGGTCAGGACTGTCTGAATAGTGATAAAATCATAACCAGGAGCAGAATTCATATTTGTTGGTAATTCTTTATCACCACCTACAAATGAATTAACCGAACATAGTGTATATGATATAAATTACAACGTGTTTTTGTTGCAGTTATCACAGACTGACTCACTGAGGTGTGTAGCTGCTTGCTGTATACAGATTATCCGCCGCAGAACAGATGTGGTATTATGTATTGGCCAATCAACAATCAGTTTATGGAACCAGACAGGAGACACCTACACTTGTGTTGACTCATGGCAGCTTGAACAGGTACTTCATAAAGTTAGGTACAGGTAATGAACACCTGATTACATTCATAATTACAGTCATGACAGCTAGAACAGGTAAATGTAGTGAACAGTGTCAGACAGGTAACATGCTTCTGATTACACTCATGGCTGATTGGCTGATAGAATAAGTAACTGTATTACGAACCTACCCTCGTCTGCTGCATAACCAACTACTCAGTAGTGAAGTGGGCGTAAAATCACTCAAAACAAACAAATGAACCTAACGTACCTCTATTCTTAGTGGCCTATAAACACGGTAAGGTCATTTAAGGTCATCACATTGTAAAATGGTAATGTAATTGATGGATGGGGGCAGGCTCAGAGGAAATGACAGTGTGGTAGGTTTGAAGAGATAAAAATAAAATCTGTTTTAGAGGTCTTAACTGCTATATACGATGGTTTTGTTGGACCTATTTTTTTACCTGAGTCCACATAGGGATGCTTGTTTTGTATGACTATTTATAATGACTAGCCTCATCATCCTAGGACTACAGTTCTGTGGAGTGTTACACCTACCCTGCTGTATTCCGTGATAAGTTCTGCTACTTTGTGGTTGTGCTGCGGGGTGCTGGATGTACCGTCCAGGTGGTTCACTACAATGCCAGGACAGACAAGCCACAGCTGATACAGTGTCTACAGGGAAACAGGTATATTCCAGTAAAACAAAGAATGGGACTGTGAACATTGTTCTACTCCAAAGTAATTGTAACCCCAGCAATGATTTAATGTAGACATTGTACTGGAATCAGATTTTTGTGTCTGTTACTTACTTGGTAGATGTATTTGTATCTGGCTGTGCATTTCACCATACATGAAACCTTAGGTTTGAGGTCAATAGAACATGATGTAAAGAAGCTGTGACACTATTTACTCTGTTGTGGAACTATAGAATCTATGCTCCTTTACTTGATATATTTGTCCAATAATGCCTTTCTCCATTCTTTGAAACTTTGAGTTTAAGTAGAAATTTTTGTTGCATTTCGATACAACATTATGTTTCATTTCAAAATATTTTATTAAATCAAATGATTCAATGGGAATTGGGCAACAGGCTATGCCTATACAAGCCCTCTCCCTTAAATACCACATTATGTGAGCCTGTGCGACTGTTATTTCTCTGTAACACTTGTAGCCTGTGTGACTGTTATTTCTCTGTAGCACTTGTAGCCTGTGTGACTGGTATTTCTCTGTAACACTTGTAGCCTGTGTGACTGTTACTTCTCTGTAACACTGTCTCACTGTTTCAGAGTTACTGCCTGCTGCCTGAGTGTAGAAGCTCTAGCTGTGGGACAAACTTACCAGGCTATGACTAAGGTGACCAAATATTCTGTGGACTATGATGGTCAGTTAATGGTCCAGCAGGAGTTTGACCCCTCTCCATATGGTTTGGCTACACCTAGGTGTTTGATGCTAGTGGAGAATCTCCAGTCAGCACTGGTCCTATGGTCCTCCAACAACACACTAGCACTTTGGTATGTCAACAAACTATCTAAATGTATTACTTAACGCTAATATATCATGTCACAAGCAAATTATGATGTAGTCCCATATATTTATCTTAGCTCTTTTGGAGATCAGAAATTTATTGAAAAATGAAAATAAAAAGGTACTTTATTTTCATCATGATTACATTAAAATCTTATCAAAGCATTTAAATCACATCACAAGCTGCACTTGCTAACAGAAATGGGGATGTTGGTGGTTTTATGATAACCATGTTAGAAATGAAATGTCGATATCTGTACACACTGCTGATTAAATACACATTGTCTGACTTAACTGTGTATCACTCTGGCTGTCAGGGTTGTAGCATCCAGCTCATCTATAACAGTAGTGGTGTTAGTTTTCAGCACTTTGAACCTCTTGAAGTTGTAGCAAAGGAAGTATTGCAATATGATGGTACAAGTACATGACTGTATATTGAATATATGCATATTACCTGTAGCACACATAAGGCAAACTGGAGGAATGCAAATTGGCTTGTAGCTTGCTAAGAGGAAAAATGATCAAGTTTGTTAAAATAAATTATCTTTATCCACTACATATGACATGAAGTGAAATATGTTAAAAACCTCAAATGTATTATTCTTAAGAATTATAAAGTTTGAAGTAATGATATTTGGCCTGTGGTTTGTTGGGATGAAGGACTTATTGACCTGTTTTCAAATAAATAATCTTGAACAACATTGAGTGTCACAATGTCAATACTAATATAAATCAAAATCTTCTTACAAAGATCCATAAGATGCGCATATAATAATATGTTCCTGCGGTTTGGAGAATAGCGGTAATTACTTGTCTTATCGGTTCAAAGCCAATCAGATTGGCACTATATGTAGCATGTGCCATACATGTAAATGTATTGGGGAACATGGGTCATTTCCTAGCCGCCTTTCCAGCGTGACGGTCACTTTAAATTTTATCAATTTTTGCATATTGTATGCAGATGCTTATATATCATTTGGCAGGAACAGCGGAATAGTGTAAAGTGGATATGGTAGAGTAATCCCAGGAATTCGAAGTTTTAAGCCTTGAAGGGCTGGTGCAACTCCTGATCTGTTGGGTTTACCAGTTATTTTTCAGGTTTGGTGGCGCGCTCCACTATATCACACTGTTTTTTTTCTCGTGTATCATAAGGGGAAAGATTCACATGGGGAAAGATACATGTACAGAAAAATATACATGTATAATAAAAGGATTAGGTTTAAATATGTAAGAGATTTTGTGAAGTAATGTTAGTCAATGCATGGTTTCTTTAAAATACATATTGATTAAATGCTTGACCATGGTGCATGGCGAGCTAGGCTGGCAAACTGATATGTTTGGGTCGTGTTGTTTAGGATGTAGCAGAGATTGGACAGTCATGATATTAAGCCTGTAGTGTTGGCTTGTCTGCTACTCACTTTTGACCTTGACCCCTCTGAAAATCATGAATATCAAATGCCATATGCCAAGAGTGTTGAATACGAGGTGAGCAATACAGGTCCATCTGACTTCTTGTTTAATGAGTGTCTGATTTCAAAAATAGCAAAAGATGGTTTGGCACTATGGTAATAAGAAAAAGAACATCAATCTAATCAACATAACACTATCTTATTTCCATTGTATGTGCCGTATATGAAGCTACTAAAATTAATGCTGAATGCAGTGAGATTTGGGTGATGGTGATTGTGGTACCATTTATTTGATAATGTTAAAGGGGCTGGTTGGGGAAAAAAATACAAAATAAATGGGTCTAAATGCGTTCTCTGGCCTTCCAAAAGTTATACCACGGCAATATGATGGTCGAGTTCTGCTTGCAATGTCCAGTTTTGACCACTGAAATCTTGGGGAAGCCCTTCGTAAATTTAGCGCAGATCTATTTATATATGTCACGTGGTTGTTTCGAAAGTGAGGCAGTGAAGATAACAACAATAGCACGCCGTCATGTGCCATGTCTGACTCAACTAGCAGACAAGACAGCAATACTATACGTAAATAATTGTTTTCAAAGGTCATGTATGATGCAAGTGTAGTATTCCTACCTATATGTTGTTATATATAACGGTATTGATACCTCGTGCCTGTCATGACTTTTGCATGCATCTTTTTCTTTCGCCGCAATGTTTACATTTGGCCTTGTTGATGACGCGCGTGCGGTAAAATTACATCACTGATCTGGGTCAATTGAGAGTTTTAGACTGTCAGGTGACGATTTAGGATTTCTTTAATANAATGACGCGCATGCGGTAAAATTACATCACTGATCTAGGTTAATTGAGAGTTTTAGACTGTTAGGTGACGATTTAGGATTTCTTTAATATAATTATAATTTTTACTCTTAGGGAGTGTATTTCAGCAGAATTTGAATCGGTATATTTCATAAGAAGGTATTTTAAACACGTGTATGCCATTTTAGCAAATATGACATTTTTTCCCCGACCAGCCCCTTTAAAAATCAGTGACTGGTATTAGTCAGGTGGTTGCATACTTTTTATGACATAAAATGATATACAGGTAAAATTCGTATTTTCCTAGTGTTAACAATAATTTTCTCCTAAATGATGAAATACTACATAAGAGTAAGCTGTGTAATAATATTTGCCATTGTGATGAATTCCCCATCATTACAGAATCTTGGAACCATATGTTCAACAGTACACAAACTTTTCTTGCATGAACATTCAAATAGCACTTGCTCACTCAAAGCTGTAAGAGTTATAAAAAATCTTCGAACTGTAGAAGGAATGACAATGACCTACAGTTAGCCTCTAACCTGGAGAGACAATAACATAGCCCTCAGACTGGGATAGAAACAAAGTGGACAGCAAGGGTTATGACAGCTTTCAACGTAGAGTAATAAAATAAATCCTTTTCTAAAGTTTACTGATTGGAAAAATATTCTTGTTTCAGGAACACAGACACAGGAACACTGGTGTGGACACTTGACCTCTCACTGACCTGGCCAGAGATGTCCACTCTAGTCTCAGCACAGTGGCAACAGGTCAGTAGGTTGTACATATTTGTCTTCCACTTGTGGTATGGAGTGGTGCCGTATAATACTTAGCGATTTAGAGTAATATCAATAACAGCTTACTTAGTGAGATTTCAGTTTGATCTCAAAATTAACAGAGTGATGTATAAAAGTGTCGTAATATAATTAAGTATGTACTTAAGGGATAAAGCAGGTTTTTGGTTCCCAGACAGCAGGCCTAGTTGAAGGGAACAAGAAACTTGCAATACCATACGTTCACAGTTTTGTTATACCAAAACCTAACACCCTTTTATTATATTGAAACCTAATGCACTGGTAATTAAAAAATTTAAAAAGCATACACAAAAAACAGTAATATTGTCTTCTTCTGAGGTTCATGATATATGACAACGAAAAAGGATAATGTCAGTATAAACTCAGCCTCTCTCTTGCCTGACTGAGGATGTTATGGAAACTGCCCAGGGAATTAGTCTGCAGGGGTGTTTTAGTTTTCAGACTAATTCCATGCTGATAGACTGCTCCCTGGACAGCAAAGTCAGGGCAAAAGCCCTTTGTTTTGATATAGAGGGAATAAAGTAGAGGAACATTAATTAGTGATGCATTTTCTGTTTAATTATTTTGTTACATACATTGCAATACATATCAGATCATGGTTCATGTATTAAGATGCATAATCATGAGCTATGTATTATTACATGCCTATTTACTGGTCACACATACCTGGGTATCTCAAAATAAGTGTGAACAGAGCACCCGGTTAAACTAGTCACATATTCTTTTACCAGGAGTATTTATTGCTGTCTCTGCTTACTGAGAAGAAAGCTGATGATGCTGGTGTTTTATTGGTGGTCAACCCTGAGACAGAGATCAGCAAAATACTGATTCACTACAATGCCACTAGCTGGGAAGGGTGAGTTAAGAAGATTTGTCCTTTATAATGCCACTAGTAGGAGTAGGTCAATTACACTGGCACAGCTAGCTGGGAAGGATAATTTAGTATGATCGGTTTTCCACTACACTGCCACTAGCTGGGAGGGTTATATACAGAAAACTTGTCCACTGCACTGCCACTAGCTGGGAGGGTTATATACTGAAAGCTTGTCCACTACACTGCCACTAGCTGCAAGGGTTATATACAGAAAGCTTGTCCACTACACTGCCACTAGCTGGAAGGGTTATATACTGAAAGCTTGTCCACAACACTGCCACTAGCCAGAGGGTTATAAACAGAAAGCTTGTCCACAACACTGCCACTAGCTGGGAGGGTTATATACTGAAAGCTTGTCCACAACACTGTTACAGAAAGCTTGTCCACTGCACTGCCACTAGCTGGGAGGGTTATATACAGAAAGCTTGTCCACTAGACTGCCACTAGCTGGGAGGGTTATATCCTGAAAGCTTGTCCACAACACTGCCACTAGATGGGAGGGTTATATACTGAAAGCTTGCCCACAACCCTGCCACTAGCCGGAGGGTTATATACTGAAAGCTTGCCCACATCACTGCCACTAGCCGAAGGGTTATATCCTGAAAGCTTGTCCACAACACTGCCACTAGCAGGGAGGGTTATATACAGAAAACTTGTCCACTGCACTGCCACTAGCTGGCAGGGTTATATACTGAAAGCTTGTCCCCAACACTGCCACTAGCTGGGAGGGTTATATCCTGAAAGCTTGTCCACAACACTGCCACTAGATGGGAGGGTTATATACTGAAAGCTTGTCCAAAACACTGCAACTAGCTGGGAGGGTTATATACTGAAAGTTTGTCCACTACACTGCCACTAGCTGGTAGGGTTATATACTGAAAGCTTGTCCACTACACTGCCACTAGCTGGTAGGGTTATATACTGAAAGCTTGTCCCCAACACTGCCACTAGCTGGGAGGGTTATATACAGAAAGCTTGTCCACAATACCGCACTAGCTTAAACTAGGAGGGATGTTTACAGTTATTCATGTCCACAATGCTGCCATCCAATATAGCTGGGAGGGGTGAATACATTACTTGTAGGTTTGTTTATTATATTGCTTACAGTTCATTATTGTCGCTAGCTGGGACACGCAAGTACGATACATTGGCCACCGTATACTGCCACTAGCTGGGAGGGTGGAGTACATTTGGATTGTCTGCTTCTTCACACTGTGTGGGCGAAGTATTTCATCCAGTATTTCCACAATACCAGCAGTGTCAAAAACTCAACAATATATTCACTGAATGTGTCATCCTCTGGCATCAAACACTCAGAAGGATAGGGGGTGGTGGGACGGGTGTTTGGGTGTTTGTTTCACATCTTAGCTCAGACCATTCTGTGTGATGGAGAGGATGAAAAGTTAGTGTGGAATAGCAGGGTGATTCATAACAACTCTTATTGTTGAATATGCCATTTGGAGATTTTGCTTTCAGACTATTGATAAATCAGAGATTTTACTTACAGTCTATCGATTAATATTATCTCATTCAAATATAAGTCAGTTTTTAAAATTCCATTCACAATTCAGGAATTTGAAACCATTTTACAGTATAAACCCAATGATACAGTCTCACACATCTGAATACTGAATGCTTTCTATTTCAGATTGAAGTGTGGTGGACAGCTTGAGGACAGCATTGCTGCCACTGATCACAGAGGTCAGACATGTGTGTGGGAACCCTACACCGGCCAGCTGTCTTACCAATGTGACCCCTCCACTGGTGTCAAAGGTCTTGGCCACTACTGGAGGAAGGTCATCGCTATGTACAATCACTGTGTACACATCTTTAAGTAACATCATTATGTAAACATTTGTAGGCGACATCGCTGTGTACACGTTTTAAGGTGACATCACCGAGTGCACATGTTTAGGCGAGATCACCAAACACATTGCTAGGTGATCTTACTACAGTATATTTAAATTCACTGGACATCATTAGGTGACATCACTATGTAAAATCACCGACTCACTGTACACAGCTTTTGGTGACATCACCATATATTGTTACCTTATACACACAGGTTGTTAACTAACAAGCACAACATATGGTGTTAATATGAAATATTATGCAATATTAAGATGAAAAAAGGTGTTTTTAAAATGTGTAGGGTTTTTTCTTTCTTAATAAGCTTTTATCATTGTACATTATCCAAAGTAATAACTCTACAATATACCCCATTGATTGGTATAGTGAAATATCAGTATCAAAATGCTGGACAATTTTTTCAGTTTATAAAAAAGATTATTTTGCTCAATAAATGAAGTAAACTAGAACAGGCATACAAACATAGATGATCTGCTAAATTTAGATTTATTCAGAGTGGTACCGAGTCTCTCAGGGGTCAAAAGGTGTTACTGTATATGAAATACTTTTTCAGTACAATGGAAATTGAGGGTATTGAAGAAGCCAGAAATGACATTTATCATGTTTTGCATATTTTTTTCATCATATTATGGACACTTGCATGAAATTTATTGCTTCTTTCAGGACTAAAATTAAGTGTATCTAGCCCATATAGTAATACATAAGGGATCAAAATGATCAGCAACAAATAAATCAACAACATTAGAAACCTTTACCTCAATATTTTAGCAACCTTTATGAGTATGTCCACCGTTATTGTTGCACCTGTTTATTTTTTCTGAAGTAAAAACTATGTACAGCTGAATGTTTTCTTGGAAAGCTAACTAAAAATATTGTCCTGGTTTTGTTGGTGCTTCAGAAGCCTCTTTTTAATTGTTTTGTGAAATATACAAGTTTCTACTTTATAGAAATTGTGATGCATGCAAACTGTGATCATAAGGATTTGTATGAGTAAAGGATAGTTATTGTTAATGTATAGCACAATAAAAGTTGATGTTGAAGCAGAGGTTTTGGTGCTGATTAATTGAAGGGTTCAATACAAACACGGCAACACCTGGTGGATTCTTGGCAATGAACCTTCATAGATTAGAACAACATCTGCTTCAAAGAAACTCTTGGCAAGTCAATTTTCAAAGAACAACAATGGCTTTATTTCATTCTTTCATCACATACATATCATACCGTTCATGTTTAATCTTCATCAATAAACTTAATACAAAAATTAGCTCTTTCTCGATATCTAAACTGAAGTATTAAAATTTGCAATACACATACAAGGCACCAGGAACATGAAAGGATATAGACAGGTCCAAAATTGTTTCATTTTGGAGGTCAATATCATGTGGACAAAAATGTATTCATCAAATTTAGATCGATTTCCACCAGAAATATTTATCTTGTGACATTTGAAATTTGATTTGGGTCTAAGACCATTTCATGATCCTGTTCCAGGTATAACACAGTTCCATCAACACAAACAGATACCTTCCAGCCAAGATTATGTAAGACAATCTCCACCAGAAAAATATGGTTTATAGGTTTATCGAGATCGAGCCACATTTAAATGAAACTTGTCTGCAAGTACATTGTGGTCAAGACCTCATGATACACAAATTATTGTGGTCAAGACCTCATGATACACAAATAATGTCCACAGGTACATTGTGGTCAAGACCTCATGATACACAAATAATGTCCACAAGTACATTGTGGTCAAGACTTCACGATTCACAAATAATGTCCACAAGTACATTGTGGTCAAGACTATCCAAGATAAACGACTCGCTCCACAATATACAAAATACTCTCCGTGAATAATCATGGCCTGGATATCTCCAAAATAAACATTAAATACTCAAGTACTGTCAGAGAATACATCATAGTCTAGACTCTTTTCACAACAAACGAATACTGTCGGCGATACAACGATAAATATATTTTCTCTTATACAATAACAAAAAAGATGTGTCATTCATATTGACAATGAATGCTTATACTTCATTTCATACTGAGGCCTATCAACAAGATACTCTCAACAAACTTGTCACACACAAATGTACTTTTGGTATATAAACACTATAAATTACAAATTATACAACATTTAACCTGGGCACCCTGTAATTTGTAAACATAGTCATGATTTATGTACACAAGTTCTACCGCTCAACATCACAAGTAATTTGATTGCAATTTAGCACTGATCTTATCTTAAACTAGGGCACAGTTTCTACAGGTAATTAAAGCACAAAAAATATTGGAGGACAGTACCAATGCTCAGAGCAGGTTTTCCTCTCAAATACTAAATAATAATGTTGGTAAAAGGATGACACTAAACTCCAAACCTCTTACCATGTCCCCTAACAACTAGAACATGTCTGCGCAACCAAAACATCTATCTCGGACAAAATATGTCCTCCCTGCCAAAACGTTATACCATTTTAAGATGTTGGTCAATATCGTCAATCTGTACCATTTTCAGCTCAATGTGTATCAATGCCCGTCTATAATCTCTAATTTGTGTTCTATCCTACATTTAACACAGATCTGTAACTCCATATGTTTATAAATTGCAGGTATACTAGGTTCATGGACCCTGGTAAATGCACAAGAAAACTACATGTACAAAAATGGTAAACAGTATCACGATGTGAGATTATGGTAAATAATCAAACCAGACATTAGTAGATTTAAAAAAAGTTAAAATTCTGTAGAAATGTATTAAAATGAGATTATTCTTGCAGGTTTGGGACTTGTGGCAAGATTAACAAATATGTGGTTATTACAAGGGTAGTGGGCAATATCAATATTAGTAGTCTACATTTGATAGTACAATCCTGCCATGCTGACCAAATAAACACCAGTGTGTAGTTGATCATAGTGCAGGTTGTATGGTTACACTTGCAGCATCACCTTCAGTTGCTAAAGGTTAAGGTGTCCTAAAATAGCTTATAGAACCTTTTATACTGGCATCCTTTATACTGTTATCATATACTGTACCCTAAGGTATCATTTATAATAGCTTGGACATATCAATAAATTATCTACTTTTCCCCATTATACTAGGTAAACGTCTCCATTACACTAGCTAAAGCCTAAAGGTCTGTGTTACACTAGCCAAAGATCCCTGTAACATTTGCTGAAGGTCCCCTTTACACTAACTAAAGATCCCTTATACACTGGCCAAAGATCCCTGTAACATTTGCTGATAGTCCCCTTTACACTAACTAAAGATCCCTTATACACTAGCCAAATGTCCCCGTTTCACTAGCCACAGGTCACAGTTATACTTACTAAAGGTCCGGGCTGTTACACTAGGATAAGGTCCCCACCACACTAGCCAAAGGTGGTCTCCGTTACACTGGCCAAAGATCCCTGTAACATTTGCTGAAGGTCCCCTTTACACTAACTAAAGATCCCTTATACACTAGCCAAATGTCCCTGTTTCACTAGCCGTAGGTTCCAGTTACACTTGCTAAAGGTCCGGGCTGTTACACTAGGATAAGGTCCCCACCACACTAGCCAAAGGTGGTCTCCGTTACACTGGCCAAAGATCCCTGTAACATTTGCTGAAGGTCCCCTTTACACTAACTAAAGATCCCTTATACACTAGCCAAATGTCCCTGTTTCACTAGCCNGTTCCCCGTTACACTAGCCAAAGGTAACTGTTACCTTAGCTAAAGATCCCCACCACACTAGCTAAATGTCCCTATTTTACTAGCTACAGTTCCCAGTTACATTAGCTAAAGGTCCCAGTTACACTAGCTATTATTGATACACTAGCTAAAGGTCCTTATTTTACTAGCTACAGTTCCCAGTTACATTAGCTAAAGGTCCCCATTTCACTAGCTACTGGTTGCAGTTACACTAGCCAGCGTGGACAGAATAGAGCTACACAATGAGAAAAGGATTCCACAATCTATACCCTATAATAGCTGTCATTCTGAATGGGATATTACAGCAGAAATTGAACACAGGAATTTAACCCTAACATATTTGTAATTTGAGATTTTAACAACCTGCCCTGAAATGTGTATATATATGAAATGACACTTAAACTAGGCACACATCTTGAAGAGGATCAAGATTTTTGTCATTTGGATTAAGATCCTTGCATAGACTTTAACTAAAGTGAATAAGATTGTAATGTATAGAAGTCAGACAACAACTTAGAACCTTCACCCATCAACCTCTTCATCTGTAAGTCCTGCTTACTTTCTTAGTCGTGTGTTTCTGTGAAAATCACAAAAAAGTCTATTAAAATTTCCCGAAATTTCTTGAATATGAAAACAAAGATGAACAATTTGAAGAAATCGGACTATGAACTTTTTCTTTGTAATAAATTTGAAAAGCAGTATACATGTGATTCACAGAAGAAGAATTATGACAGTTATGATAGCAGTGGTCCATTTAAACACTCACTTATTTAACATTTGTGTTACGCTGATATTCAAAGGCAGGTACCACCTACAACTTACAAAGTCAAAAGGAAATATGAAATGTTCAGAAATTATTTCAATTAAATTAAATACGAGCTGACATTTTAATTTTAATTTTCTGTTATTGGTTGTTAATATAAGAAGCATAATATAAAAAAATCTTCTATAAAAAGCTTATCATTCTAAACTTCAAACAAAAAAATGCATTTGAAGATAAATGCAAGGTTCATGCAATCAAACCAAGCAAATAACAAGAAAACAAATCTGAGTGATATCAATAGCTACAAAATGTAAGGCATTCTTTCTGCTGCCAGAGTGCTGCTAATAAGTTGAGACCACATTGGTTGAAACAAGCTTTGTTGTATACGTTGAACTCACCTATAAAGTGTCTTTACAGACTTGCAGATTGTGGAGGTCTAAGTTATTGTCAATTTCACATCATAGCTTCAGTTCTGGTGTTCTGATTTATAATGCACTATGTGAGTAACCCTTAACAAATCTGTTTAAGGATTGGTTCACGAGGTCCAATTGCTGTTGATATGTACAACAAAACAATCTGTTTCTGCAAAATAAGGTCATTCTAATGTGTTCTCTTCATTCCAAACAAAATCAAACTAAAACATTTGTAAAATCAAGAGTCAATAAATATGAAGGATTTTACAAGAGTTTCCATTCATGTAAGATTTTTGAAACAATTTTATAAATTGTAATTTTAGGGAGTCTCTGCTAAGCTAAAATGAAAAATTCATAACAAGTCTCATATGTTTACATGAAATAGAAACAATTTTAGGATCCTTTTTTATCACATGATCAAGAAAGTCTGCAAGAATTGAGAAAAACCTGCTTTTCCAGATCATTTTTGAAGTCTAAAATTCTGCCATCTTAGCTCTAGATCAATTGTCTCTTATCATGAGGACCCTTACTCCCATAACATGAGAGGCCGCTGGTCGGCCTTTTTTCTATCGGATATGATTTTGCCGACTGCGACCAAAAGTTTTTCGCCGTGTAAAACCTCTAACATTGTTGGAGTAGAGGACCCTGTGGAAGATTAGCTTTGCTAAACAGGTTTTGTATCCTCAATAAATAAAGTTTATTATTATTATTATTATGATGTCATCAGATAATTTAGAATATCTAATGTGATTTCCTCCTCCCATTCAGTACGTCACCTAGACAGGGACCAATTTAGGACTTCGGCAAAAAAATATTCTTTTATTAAGTGGAGATGCTGTCCACTTCACACCTCACAAAATACAATTGCTTTTAATACAATTAATTACAAATATTGGTAATTCCTTCCTAACTATATGATTTATGCAGTTTATTTTTTTGTCAGTTTATTTATCTAACAAAATTCTTGAATGCCTAGACAACGAAAAATCTCAAAAACACAGAGAAAATGTTAGGTTGGAAGAATATCAGTTAATTTTCCAGCATGAAGAAAATCTTAAGAGAATAAGATTTTTTTTCTCCCAGGGAAATTAACTCACAAATAGTCAAGAATTTTGCCCAGATTGGTCCCTGATAGGTCATTACATTATGCAAAATATATGACTTGGGTGTTATTACTAAATAACATGTTGGTCGTGTGATAAACTGCAGTGATAAGTGATGCATTAAAAACTTTGCAAATGATAAAGTTGCAAGCATAACATTAACCCAAATCACAAGAAATTCTGCTTGCAGCTGCCGAAACCTAATTACAGGTAAAGAGATAAAAGGATTGTTCACAAACACCTTAGCTAAATTCACATATTCAAAAAAGTTACAAGACTTAGTTGATCTATGTACATCATAGTAAACATGTAGCCAATATGTTACACATATCTCATCAGTCATTCTACATTCTCTTCATACATTATTTTTGTAATATACAAAAATATTTTCGCAACCAAAATATCTTAAAATCTACTATTATACCAAAAAATATTATATCATCACCAGCCCACAATACCAAAATATCAATATTTCTTCTATAACATCTTTATGCCACTAGTGGATTTGCTCAGTGAAACCTATTGAATACCCTAAGATTGTAGGGAACAGAGAGGGAATAAGAAATATAATGTAAACCAAATAGACAAGTACTTGTCAGATCTTTATCTCCATAGAGAAGACAGATCATGAGACATGCAAGTTTATCTCCAGAGAGAGAATAGGTCAGGGGATAGGTAAGCTTATCTCCTTAGAGTGGAAAAGCAAGTAAGGAGATATGCAAGCTCATCTCTGTACAGAGAACGGGTCAGCATGTAACTTATGTAAGCTTATCTTTATAGAGTGGACAGGTAAGGAGATCTGTAAGCTAATCTTTATAGAGTGGACAGGTAAGGAGATCTGTAAACAAATCTTTATAGAGTGGACAAGTGACGATATGTGTAAGATTTACAGAGTTATCTGTCTGGTAGTTATTAGACCGCTCCTCTGTCTGATAATTGACAGTAAGGTTTCCCTGTATGACGATTGACAGTATGGTTTCCCTGTATGAAGATTGACAGTAAGGTTCCCTTTCTGATAATTGATAGTAAGGTTTCCCTGTCTGATGATAGACAGTAAGGTTCCCTTTCTGATAATTGACAGTAAGGTTCCTTTTCTGATAACTGACAGTAAGGTTTCCCTGTATGACGATTGACAGTAAGGTTTCCCTGTCTGATAATTGACAGTAAGGTTTCTCTGTCTGATGATAGACAGTAAGGTTTCCCTGAATGAAGATTGACAGTAAGGTTCCCTTTCTGATAATTGACAGTAAGGTTTCCCTGTCTGATGATAGACAGTAAGGTTTCCCTGTATGAAGATTGACAGTAAGGTTTTCTTTTCACAGACAGGGTTGTGAAGATGATTGAGGCCCAGGTAAGCCTGTCTGATGATCGACAGTCAATACTCTGATTCAGGGCAAAGTTTCCCTTTCTGATGGCCAGGTTTCTCTGGTAGATGATAAATGGTAAGGTATTCTTGATTAATGAATGATGGCCATATTTGCTGATTAACAGCCAGATTTCCCTATTTGATGATAAATGGACAGTTAGGTTTCATTTGTAGAATACCGGAGGCCAGGTTTTTCTGTCTCATGATTGATGGTCAAATTTCTCTCATTGATGTTTGACAGCCAGGTTTCCCTGTCTGATAACTCATTGCAAGGATCATCAATTGACAATCAGGTGCACATGTCTAATGATCGACAGCCAGGTTTGCCTGTCTAATGATTGACAGCCAGATTGCCTTTCTAATTACTGAAAGCAAGATTTCCTTGACTGGGGATTGATAGACAGATCAGGGAAATATGCAGTACAATGTTTTTTTTCCCAAATAGTTAAATATTCTAAAATTACATGTACATGTATCATCTCTTTGGCTTTAAATGCATTTTCAAACCTCTAAACTAAATGCTTAATGCAAGATCAAATTCAGTTTTAAGTACATGTATCTACAAATTACAGTACATCAAACAAAGCAAACTATGACTCATGTCTCTAGTGCTAGCTTTTGTGAATTACATATGTTGTTTTGAATTCATTAAATACCGGAAACAAGGAATGAACAACAGAACAATTGAACAACATGCTCTCCATATCAACAAAGATGGAATGGGACTGAGGTCACCTCCTCTGTGACATGTGGTTACTGTAGAATTCCTCCCACAGAAGTGGATGGGTACATACGGTACTCCTTAAAAAAGGAAACAACCTTGAACAGAAACAAGTGGCTGAAATGTTTTTATTTTTTCCCCCATTTCTGCCAACAGATCGAGTTCCAGTGTAGTGAGTTGTGCTGGTGACCCCTTGCCATAGACTTCCCTACTCTCATTTTTCCATGGTTGCACCTCTCATTTACATCTTGTCACAGAACCACAAATCACTGAGGAGATGGTGAAACCCTCTATTAGTAAGTAACGTAAACCACTTATATTTCCTGTCATGTCACAAACATATTGATGGTAACACTCATCAGGATGATTCTTTTCTGGTTTTTTGTTTTTAAGATTTACTGATCTTTCTTACGAATAATATATGACATGTCCAGACAAGTTACAAGAGTGTCAGGTTCTGCTACAGACTGTGAGAAGGATAAGGACTATATATTATCAACTGATAGAAAAAAAACAGTCTCTAGCCATTCCCGACCTAGAGGAAACCCCAGATTCTACTAGAAACTATGAAAAAACTCAGACTCAACTTGAGACCTTGAAGAAGATTTCAGACTCTACTTTAGATTTTGAACCCACTACATGTACTAGAAACCCTGAGAAAGACTGCTGACACTTCTAGCAACCCTTAGACCCCCATACTCTACTAGACATATTGAGGACCCTAGACCCTACTAGAAACCCTGTACAAAAAACCTGATGAGGACACAAGACTAGACTAGAAACCCTTGGGGAGGACCCAAGACTGTACAAGAAACTCTGATAAGGACACCAGATTAGACTAGAAACCCTTGGGAAGACCTCAGACTGTACAAGAAACCCTGATGAGGACACCAGACTAGAATAGAAACCCTTGGGAAGACCTCAGACTGTACAAGAAACCCTGACGAGGACACCAGACTAGAAACCCTGGGGAAGACACTACACTCTACTAGAAACCCTGATGAGGACACCAGACTATACGAGAGACTCTGGGGAAGACCTCAGACTGTACAAGAAACCCTGATGAGAGCACCAGACTAGAAACCCTGGGGAAGACACTACGCTCTACTAGAAACCCTGATGAGGACACCAGACTATACAGGAGACCCTGAGGAAGACACCAGGCTATACTGGAAACCTTGGGGAAGACCCCAGACTTTACTATAAACCCTGATGAGGACACCAGACTATACTAGAGACCCTGAGGAAGACACCAGACTATACTAGAAACCCTGATGAGGATCACAGATATTACAAAGACCCTGTCAAGAAAAACCTAGACTTTCAAGCTTGTTAAGAGACAGTGAAAAATATGAGTGATTTACTGTGTGGTGCGGTTAGTGTGGGAGAGAGCAGTGAGAGAGATCAGTCTTCCATGCCTATATTGCGGAACAGGTAAGACATGGACTCGTTGTTGTGAATCCTTCTGATGGCCTCCACAAGCATCACACTGATGTCTACTGTCCTTATCTTATGGCACTGCATCTTCTGGATCTCGTGGGGCACTGTGTTGGTCACAACCACCTGTAACACACAATACCTATTTTCAGCTCACACCTTACACCACAGTTCTTAAACACTTTGTGGGAAAACAGATTCTTAGTTTACCTATCCAGAATTAAAAAAAGAAAAAAACACTGATTGATATACATTTTGATCAAGTTACCGTAATTATTACAATGAAATCTAAACCAGTACTAATAGTACAAAAATAGTGGCAGTGTAACTTTGACCTTGGTAAAAAGATGACACATTTACCTCATCTATACAGGAATCATCTAGTAAACGGGGTGCATCTGAAGACAGCAGTCCATGTGTGGCCATTACGTATACCTTGTACGCCCCCCGATCCTTCAGCACCTCGGCAATGTTAACATAGGATTGTACATCGTCTATCATGTCATCCTGTTACAATACAAAGCACTCCCTGTAGTACAACGTGTTTTGACATATTTAGAAGGAATCATAATCATGGTTTATTTGGAGCTTCATGTAAAGGCAGCCAAACTATAAACACAGTGTTGATTAAGATGTAGCACAAATTGTTTCAATATTAAACTATATGCCTCATTACAGAAACTCTATCGACACACCGCAGTGGAACCAGAGTAACCGGACACCGTTAGTTCAGTAACGGAGCCAAAAACTAACAAGAACAAAATATCTGTAAGTAATGGAGGACATTTCATTTATCTAGGACATCTGTTATTCTGTACATTTTGTGAAGAGCAAAATTTAGATTGACTTGAAGAACCAAGGTCACTTTTGTGTGTTCAGTTAAAATGGTCCTGATAGTAGCAATACATCGCGATAAACGAACATACCTGGATCAGAAGTGGGTAAACCTTATAGGCAGAGCTCAAAATGCAGTTTTGGTAAAAAAAAAATCAAATAAATTGCATTAAATCAAGAATTTGAGGTGCTTCTTTCTTTAATGTTCTAAGTTTTATAACTTTTCTAAAACATGCCTATTTATTGAAGTGTATGCTTTTAACATTAAAGATGGTATGCATAACAGTTAAATTCAACCTTATTCAATGATAGAAGCAACAAAGACAATTTTATTTTTCCTTACTGGATGGCAAGGTTCAGTCAGGCATTTGATCAGACCTTTCAATCTACACATGCCCAATTATAGAAGGTCAGCCTCAGTCCAGTCTGTTGAACCAGATATATGAAAGCAGCAAGGCTGGTCCTTAAAATTTCCTATCCTCATTGATTTAATATGTCATGATATTGGATCAATGGATACTAGCTGTGCATGTACACAGATAACTCTGAATAACAAGAGGCCCATGGGCCTTAACGGTCACCTGAGTCTATAGTATTTATTTTTGTTGTTGAAATATGTACCAATTTGAGTAAAAAATAGTATAATGTTAACTTNGCTGTATAAATCAGACTCACCACTATAATAGCTATCCTTCCTCCAACATCACCCCCCACAATCAACGGTGGCTTACATCAAACTCACCTCTATCATAGCTATCCTTCCTCCAACATCACCCACCACATTCAGAGGTGGCTTACATCAAACTCACCAATATCATAGCTATCCTTCCTCAAACATCACCCACCACATTCAGAGGGGGCTTACATCAAACTCACCACTATAATAGCTATCCTACCTCCAACATCATTCAGAGGTGGCTTACATCAAACTCTCCACTATAATAGCTATTCTTCCTCCAACATCACCCACCACATTCAGAGGGGGCTTACATCAAGCTCACCACTATAATAGCTATCCTTCCTCAAACATCACCCACTACATTCAGAGGAGGCTTACATCAAACTCACCACTATAATAGCTATCCTACCTCCAACATCATTCAGAGGTGGCTTACATCAAACTCTCCACTATAATAGCTATTCTTCCTCCAACATCACCCACCACATTCAGAGGAGGCTTACATCAAACTAACCACTATCATAGCTATCCTTCCTCCAACATCCCCCACCACATTCAGAGGTGGCTTACATCAGACTCACCACTATAATAGCTATCCTTCCTCCAACATCTCCCACCACATTCAGAGGTGGCTTACATCAAACTCACCAATATCATAGCTAGCCTTCCTCAAACATCACCCACCACATTCAGAGGGGGCTTACATCAAACTCACCACTATAATAGCTATCATTCCTCCAACATCACCCACCACAATCAAAGGTGGCTTACATCAGACTCACCACTATAATAGCTATCCTTCCTCCAACATCATTCAGAGGTGGCTTACATCAAACTCTCCACTATAATAGCTATTCTTCCTCCAACATCACCCACCACATTCAGAGGAGGCTTACATCAAACTAACCACTATCATAGCTATCCTTCCTCCAACATCACCCACCACAATCAAAGGTGGCTTACATCAAACTCACCACTTTCATAGCTATCCTTCCTCCAACATCACCCACCACATTAAGAGGTGGCTTACATCAGACTCACCACTATAATAGCTATCCTTCCTCCAACATCCCCCACCACATTCAAAAGGGGCTTACATCAAACTCACCACAATAATAGCTATCCTTCCTCCAACATCACCCACCACAATCAAAGGTGACTTACATCAAACTCACCACTATAATAGCTATCCTACCTCCAACATCATTCAGAGGTGGCTTACATCAAACTCTCCACTATAATAGCTATTCTTCCTCCAACATCACCCACCACATTCAGAGGAGGCTTACATCAAACTAACCACTATCATAGCTATCCTTCCTCCAACATCACCCCCCACATTCAGAGGTGGCTTACATCAGACTCACCACTATCATAGCTATCCTTCCTCCAACATCCCCCACCACATTCAGAGGTGGCTTACATCAGACTCACCACTATAATAGCTATCCTTCCTCCAACATCTCCCACCACATTCAGAGGTGGCTTACATCAAACTAACCACTATCATAGCTATCCTTCCTCCAACATCACCCACCACATTAAGAGGTGGCTTACATCAGACTCACCACTATAATAGCTATCCTTCCTCCAACATCCCCCACCACATTCAGAGGTGGCTTATATCAAACTCACCACTATAATAGCTATCCTTCCTCCAACATCACCCACCACATTCAAAGGGGGCTTTTCCTTTGGCAACAGTACTGTGAATAGGAGTTACATAAATCAAGATATATATCAAAAATATACAAAACCTACTCAAACTCGATCGTGCTACAAGTTTCTACCTTTTTGGTCAAAATCCTTATGCACATTATAATTAACAGAACCTCTTTTATCATTAAGGTGAATTCAGAGCTGTCATAAGGCCCTTCCCCTTAATGATTTCTGCTGTATTTTCCCCAATATCATTGCCAACATCACTTTATTTTCAAAAAAGCATTCTTCCTGTATGTGTGATGTTTTTCAAAAGCCAAGAGGCACAGGCCCCTGGCGAAAAGAGATAAAATAATCACTTGAGCTATATACAGATTGTTCACTGTAGTACCATGCATACAGGTAGAGTATGATCAGAAGTTAAGTTAAAGGGTGTTTTCTATTTTCTACTCAGCAAAATAAGAACACATACATGTTCTAGAAACCCTTGCCAATCTATTGTCTAGACAAAGAGATTAATTTTCTTACCTGGTAGAATTTCTAGACCGAATTCCATTTTATGGTGGTGTGTCTGTCTCAGCAACGGAGGTGAATTACGTCCATCCTCAGAGTCTGTCTCTGTGACCTTATCATCTCCATGTATTACAGCGATCCCCAAATGTAGCCTCTCAGCATAGGATGTGGCACGCTTCACAGAGTTAGGATTTCGTGCTACTATTATGGCATTTCTGTAATCCGGTATCTGGAAAGTGAAGGTTATTGTTTATGATATATTGTTAATTAATTAATACATTGATGAATCAAACTTAGTACATAATATATTAAGCTTGACAGAAAAAGCTATAAAATGTATGGTGTTTAAATTACAATATATCAGCTTGCATGTAATTATAAATGCTTCAGAAGGAAACAATTTAAGAATACTGCAAATGGAATGGGGACTATGAGAATTGGACACAAATGAGTGTGTAGACAATATATATATTTAAGCATCAACTGCATACTGTTCAGATTTGTAGACTACAATTCTGTATAGTACTGTAGACAATTTTAATCCTGTGCTTTTGTGTCTGTTCAGAATTACAAGACTACAACTAAGCACAGAATGCAGTTAAATACTTATATTTTCATTGATTCTGACAATAAGTTGATATTTAAATTTCTCTGATTTCATTTCAAAACCTAAGGTTGATTTTCAATAAATTGAACAGTTGTTATGACATCATGATCATCTCTCTCTTGAGAAAACAGGTTCTTTTATAAAATAAAACCCTTTTCAGACACTAGATGAACTCATTAAAGTAAAAACAGAATGTGTGTTTAGCTGGTCACAATGACTTACAGACTGCTCTATGTAGTCAATGAGGAAGGGCGAGGCCCTGAGGTTCTCTACTGGGATGTCGAAAAAGCCCTGGATTTCCTTCTGGTGTAGATCCATGGTGATGATGTGTGTTAAACCTGCGACAAAGAAAAGCGCAATGTTAAGACTAAATCCTGGGACAAAGTACAACACAATGTAAGACCTAAAACCTGGGATAAAGTACAACACAATGTAACACAGAAAACCTGGAATAAAATATGATGCAATGTAAGGCCGAAAACATGGGACAAAGTACAACGCAATGTAAGGTCTAAAACCTGTGACAAAGAACAACGCGATGTAAGACCTAAAACCTGGGATAAAGTCAAACGCAATGTAACACGGAAAACCTGAAATAAAATATGATGCATTGTAAGGCCGAAAACATGGGACAAAGTACAACAAAAAATAAAAGGACTAAAACCATCATCAGTACAACATAATGTAAGACCTAAAACATGGGACAAAGTACAACACAATGTAAAGTCTACAACCTTGGACAAAATACAATGCAATGTTAGGCCTAAAACCTGGGACAAAATACAATGCAATGTTAGGCCTAAAACCTGGGACAACATACAATGCAATGTTAGGCCAAAAACCTTGGACAAAGTACAACACAATGTAAGGCCTAAAACCTGGGACAAAGTACAATGCAAAATAGGGCCTAAAACCTGGGACAAAGTACAATGCTAAATAGGACCTAAAACCTTGGACAAAGTAAAATGCAGTGCAATGCAAGGCCTAAAACCTGGGACAAAATACAACATGATGTTAGGCCTAAAACCTGGGACAAATTACAATGCAATATAAGGCCTAAAACCTGGGACAAAGTACAACATGATGTAAGGCCTAACCTAACCTAACCTAACCGAAACTGACCGAGGAAAAAGACCGTACATAAAATATTTTATTGAAATTTTGAATTTTAAAAAGTCAGATACTAAGACAGTAAGCAAGATCTTACGTTATTTAGTAAAGTTGGAAATGTCATATCCAACAGTGTACATAATCAATATCAATAGTATGCAACAAAATGTATTTAAATAATTAAAAAAGTGACATTTTTATTTTTAAATTTTCCCTATCTACCTTACCAGAATTAGAAATCCCAAGTCTAGTTTAGGTAAACACAATATTTTTTAAACAGGCCTAAGACTAAAGCAAAGACAAAGTCTTCTCATTGAATCTGAGACAAAGTATACATTGACTCAACTTGAGACAAAATATGTAATATATTTTATAATGTCCACTTTGGACAAAGTATATGTACATCATTATATCGGCCAGTAAGGGTAAGCAATATCTGTTAAGCAATGTAAATTGCAGTATTATTTTGAAATGACAATATTATTGCAATAAATTTTATCTATAAGCTCAGGCACAGATATGAAATAACTTAAATGTTATCCACACAAAGCTTGCTTGATGTGAAAACTTTCAAAAGCATATATGAAGTTGTTTTAAATTTGTCATTAAAACTTACTTAACTGATGTTTAGTTGTCAGTTTTTTGAAATAAGACAATTTTAAATGCACTGAATTTTAGGAATACATTATATTGTGATATAATGCAATATTCACTATGTTAATATATATAAAATATGAAAAACTCCCTGCAATACCTAAACTTTGTCTGTTAACATTCAAGGTGACTTCTAATAAAAGTGTACCTGCTTTTCCAAACATGGTTGCCATGAGTTTGCATACCACAGAGCCACGTTTTCTCATTTTGCTCTGTTTTGAGTATGGTATGTAGGGGACAACGCCTACAATAGTGCTAGCACAGCTAGTCTTACAGGCATAGGAGATGATGAGGAGCTCCATCACGTCATTGTTTACATCTCTACAACACACAACCATATGTAATAAAACTTTAAATCTTGTAGCAATTAATGGCATTATAAAGAATTATTACAATACCAACAAATACAGTACATATATATATAATATCAGGTTTTCTGGTACCTACATATATTTGTAATTATTTCTAACTTAAGTTATTACATGGTACTCATGTTCCTATTTTCCTTTTGTGAAGATCAAAGTGACATTTAATACTATTCATATGAGCTTTCTAGTTTACAATTCTACATTAGACAGCAGAGCCAATCACCTGTGACACAAGATAATGCCTCAATTAACTTTGTCTAAATGTATCCCATGTTGTTGTGACAAAATGACAACAATCAAATTAACTTGTAGACAGGCATGACCAATATAAATGTGTAATGCAGACCCTCCTCCCCAACTCCTACTCCCAACTCCCACCTCCTCCTCCCCCAACTCCTATTCCCAACCCCCACACCCCCAACTCCCGAACTCCAACTTCCCCAACCCCCACACCCACGTCCCCTAAGTCCCACTCTCCCCCAACTCCCACTCCCAACCCCCAGATTCCCACCTCCCCAACTCCCAACCCCCCGAACTCCCACTCCCAACCCCCGAACTCCCACTCCCACCCTCCCCCAACTCCCACTCCCTGAACTACAACTCCCAACCCCCGGACTCCCACTCCCAACCCATGGATTCACACTCCCAACCCTCAAACTCCTACTCCAAACCTCCGGACTCCCACTCCAAACCCCCGGACTCCCACTCCAAACCCTCGAACTCCCAATCCAAACCCCATCCCAGACTCCCACTCTAACCCTCCCCCACCAACCCCCAAACTTCACACCACCACAATACTTACTTGGTACCAGTCTGAATGATGTAAACATCTTTCCCTCGTACTGATTCTTTGATTTCGACATTTGTTTCTAGAAAAAATGGCAATTATAATTGAGGGTTATTATAACAAGAGGCCCAAGGGCCTTAGCGGTCACCTGAGTCATATCATAGTTACTGGTAGCTTTATTTTATTGTTTAGATGTGATGTGGAAATCAGCATGTAAACTAAGTTAAATACAATACTTGTCATGTCATCAAAGGATAAGAATTTTAAAATATTTGTAAATGTTCCCTATGGGGCTCCGCTCTAACCCCTGCGGATGGGGCAGGAATTCCAAGTTTACAATGTGATACCACCATCCACCAAAGATGTTTCTGACAAAGTAAAAATAATTTCCAATAGAAAATTGTCAAAATATACCCAAAAGTGTTGTTTCCCTACATAAACTATAGTAAACTTTCCCCCCTCCCCAAGGGAGAACGGATAGCTCGGGGGTCCTGAAATTTACAATTTAAATAAAGCCCCTGATGATCTTTCCATCCATGCAGAGAAAATGACTGTAATACCTCTGAGTCTGGAGAAGAAGATTTTTGAAATATTGGTTAATTTTCCCTTTGGGGCCCCGCCCTGGCCCCTAGGGTTGGGGTAGGAATCCCAATTTTACAATTTGGTAGCCTCATCTACCAAGGATGATTCTGACCAAGTTTGAAAAAATTCCATCCACTGGTTCTTGAGAAGTTGATAATGTAAAAAGTTTACGCACGACGGATGACGGACTACGACAGACGGAAAGTGATTGGAATAGGTCACTTGAGCAAAGCTCAGGTGACCTAAAAATCTTGTTTCAGGTATTTCAAAATGATTTAGTGTACAAGTACTTTAAGTACTTTAATAATTCACTTTTGATTTAGTTTACTAGAACAGGTAACTAACACATATGATTTAGTGTAACAAGTAATTTACACTTCTGAATTAGGCTACAAAAACAGGTAAGTTCCACTTTTTAATATAATGTACTAGAACAGGTAAATTACATCTTTTATTTTATTGCACTAGAACAAATAAGTTACATTTCTAGATTTAGAATACTGGAACAGGCAACTTGCACTTTTAATATAATGAACTAGAACAGGAGGTGAGTTACACATTTAATATAATGAACTAGAACAGGAGGTGAGTTACACATTTAATGTAATGAACTAGAACAGGAGGTGAGTTACACATTTAATGTAATGTACTAGAACAGGAGGCGAGTTAGACTTTTAATATAATGTACTAGAACAGTTAGTAAGTTGCATACTTGATTAATTGTACTAAAACAGGCTAGCTATGCTTTGATTCTGTGTTACTAGAACAGGTAATTTACACAATTATGGATACAGAACTCATAAAACTTTTTCAAACATTTTTTACTTTGATTTTTCACAAAACAAATAAAATGGTTTTAAAGAATTCAGATCTAGTAGTTCCTCCTTGCTTCGCATCATGTGTTTTACGACACAAAGAACAAAACATGTCAACTCAAACTATGGTTGGTGACCGTGGCAAGGTAGGAATTCTCGTTCTTTTAGTGGCATGTGAAGAACATGCCACTAAAACAACGAGAATTCCTACCTTGTAGGCTGGAGATATCACTATCACAATACACTATTTTACTATTAAGTGTATGTTACATTGATATTTTACATTGAAAACTATCCAAAATGACCACTGAGTACATGCTTTTACCTCTGTTGGATTTGTGATAAACTGTCATGTCCCCAAGTCGTATTCCCATCCGACTGAAATAAATATAAAAAAAAATACTGTAGTACGTATAGCTTGAGTAACTGGTACTTTAACGTTCTAGATGCATTTTTCATCTTAAATGCTTCGAAACACAGATGGTTTACACGTACTTGCTTAGTAATGACATATGATGACACACATTACAAGGCCTTCAAAAGTTTTCATTTTCATACAAAGTTTCAAAATATCTCCAAATCATTTTTCTGATAGTCTATGTATATATTCTATTAAATTTAATTGTCATGAATTTAAACAAATTTCTATTTCATGAAAGGCAATAATTTTAAAGTTGACCTTTACATCTGTCAGCTGAATATTAGCCCGCGTTTCCTCTGGCCCTCACACCAGACTTAGACATATATATAGATGTCTGGTGTTGGGCCAGAGCGCACTGCTATATGAAAACGTGGAATTCTCTGACACGCTGGGCCTACAAACCTTGCGATCAGCTGCGCGAGCTCCGGATGAGAATTTCCTGCCAAAATAACCATTGGGCATTTCTGTCCTGGTGCGGCCGCCATGCTTGTTGTGTGTTATTGATCAGACGGCCTTCACCCTCATGAAAGAAGACTCAAACCAACTACTGTGGCAAGATTTTTTGTGAATTATGATTTTTAAATGAATCGGAACTTTTTGAAATCACAGTAAAAAATGTTCACCAATACATTTACAAAGCAAGCACGTCATGAAAGAAAGGCCATCCCAAAACGAAAGTAGAGATGAATTTGCATCTCTAAAACGTTTGTATTGTACGAACAAAAACACGTCCTAAAATTTAAAATGAAAGTAGACTTCGGAACTCCTCTTCTTATTTTTCGCGGGAAATGTATTCCGTTACATAAATAAACTACTTTTACGTAAACGTACAGCACACATGCCAAGAGTAACCCTTTCTGCTGGTAGAACGTTACTGTGTCAATTTTGGACTGATGCACGCAAGAGATTTGTTTTCATTTCATTAGAATTAACAAAGATGGAAGATTCTCCATATTTTCAACAGAATAATAAGGTAACCAGATCAAAATTGTCACTCGGTAGACCAACTGTGAGTAATCAAATATTGCAACCGTCATTATCTAAAAAACTGCAGGTGAAAATCAAAGAAGAGCCTGTAGATGATAGTTATGTCGAAACAATCAGCAGTGTCAATCAAGGGAGGCCAGAGCAGTTGGTTAAATGTGAAAACATTTCCAGTGTAATTAAGTCGGAAACTGATGTTAAAGAGATTAAACAAGAACCACTTGAATGTTATCATGATAACAAAGATAGTGGTGCTATGACAACAAAAACTGTACTTAAGACAAGGAAAAGAGGCAAACAAGTAATTCAGTATGAAACAGTTTCAGTAAAATCTGAACCAACAGATACAGATTTCCAGACTACTTCAGATGACAACCGAAAGAAAATAAAATGGGAACCTCCGCTTTGGAAAACACATCTTGAAAATATAATTGAAATGAGGAAGGCATGGAATGCACCTGTAGACACCATGGGTTGTGATGAAATCAGTGACCGACATTCAAAGCCAGAGGTTTGTATGACTAGTGTGACTACACTGGCTTGTGACTACTGGTATTATAGCTCATTTGGGAATTATGAACATCTGTTTAGCGTTTGAAGATCCTGGATTTGAATCCCAGTCTGGCTTTGTTACAATTTACTCTCCGTTTGTAACAGGAAAGGAAACATGCAATGGCTAGACCTGGGATTTGAAAATTGATATTTTTTTTTACCAATGTTTTGAGATATATTTTTTCTAACCTGGGTTAACAAGGACATCCCTCTAGAATTTCTTATTTTTCTAATTACTCTTATTTTTTGCCTTTTATGTGATTTATTTACTTTTAAATGTTGATAGCTTTATCTGGACCGTATGTCACGTGTAAACCTTCCTAAAATCCTTTAAAATATCAATAAATCTTCAAAGCAAAGTAATTAGAGGCTTTAGAATAACACAAATGATTCAATACTATGTTATATGCTATATATTAATGTTTTAAATGTCAAGAATTTCTTACGAATTCAGAGATAAAATCTCACTATTTTTGACCAAATCTCACTAAAAATAATCACTGATCTCATTATTTTGCACTGGAAAGTTATGGCATGTATTTATTGGTGTCCCTTATACTGTCTACATTGTGTTACAGGTGTACTGCTATCAACTACTGCTGTCCCTTCTACTGTCTACATTGAATTACAGGTGTACCGCTATCAAGTAATTATACTGTCTACATTAAATTACAGGTGTACCGCTATCAAGTACTGCTGTCACTGATGCTGTCCAGTCAAACCAAAGATCAGGTGACATCAGCTGCAATATCCAGACTTCGGTCACATGGTTGTACTGTTGACAACATCCTTAATACACCTGATGATCAACTTGGAAAACTCATATACCCTGTAGGCTTCTGGAAGGTAAGAGAAGTCTTGCATGAGTTCTCTTAGGAAGGGGAAGTAAAGGAAGTAATGTATCCCTTTTGGCATCTGTGATGTATGTTCATAGAAAGTCAGAATAAAAGAAAGCTACTCACTATTTATTGGCCTGTCTGTAATACATTGTCATCCGTCAGCTTGTAGAATGATGTGCTTTATTTTCAGAAAAAGGTAATTTACATCAAGAAAACCAGTGCTATTCTTAAAGATGAGTACAAAAGTGACATTCCCAACACAGTACAGGACCTGTGTAAACTGCCAGGGGTGGGACCCAAGATGGCCTACCTGACCATGAAGTGTGCCTGGGACCAGGTGGTTGGCATTGGAGTAGACACTCATGTGCACCGAATCTCTAACTGGCTGGGCTGGGTGAAAAAGCCTACCAAGGTTCCAGAACAGACACGCATAGCTTTGGAAGAATGGCTACCAAGGTAATTTTATTGGGAATAGATTTGTTCTCTTTGACCTTCACTATTGATATCACAGGATGCTTTATTGATAAGTTGTACAAATATAGATGTTATCTATCTCAGTATATCCCATACCCAGTACCCCTATATCTTACAGTACGCCAGCACAGCAATCATACATGTTTCTTTAGGACCTGAAGGAGGCAGATTTTTAGCATTACAAATCTCTTGACAAGTTTATGAGACATCAGTGATTTGAAATGTTGTGTGTACGTTAGCAGCACCTATAGATTTAAAGGTCAGACTTTTTCAAATAGGAATTCAGATTCAGTAAGATAACATTCTGACAATAATTTTCTTTTTATACGGAGCACCTATTTCCTTTGATATTGGGATACATATCACAATACATTTCTTATAGCAATATATATTGTAAAACACTGGGAATATTGTTTCACCCATAATTATTATACAACTGAAATATATATATGCTATTCAACAGGAAACCGTTAATTGTTTTGTTTACTAGGGCTTTTTACTGTGAGGTGAAAAAACCTGTTGTGATTGTGCTTTAGGTGACTACGGTCAGATCTTTGGTTGTCAGAGGATAAAACTATCGATGCAAATAGGATTTTTGCAATAGATACTTTGATCTTGGAGGCCAAGGTCAGTGTACAAAATTAGGTATAGATACAAGATAGTACTCATATTTTGGATAATCCTCCAAATTCCAGGGGTTACGCTCACTTTTGTTCTCTGCACCCCTAGAGCAGGACAACATTGAAGGATCTGTACCCACCACGTCAACTTGTTTGAATATTCAAAGTACATCAAATTAATTTCTCAGCAATGTAGTGGTAAAATTGACCCGCTTTAAGTCAGTTGTCACCCCTCTCTAATCTTCAAAGGACAGGTATCAGCTTAGCGATTGGTCTAGTTCTTTAACCTGAAACCAATCAAATAGCTAACTGTGTGCCTTTGATTTTGTGGATGAGTTTGTATTTGATAGGTTAAGTTCACAAGGAAAGATACCTACACATAACTGCATTGTACACATTCAGGTGTTACTTAAGCATTAAACTGTTTTTGTATGGTATTTATGATCTATTTGAATGTCACAGCTTTGCAAGCAAACAAAATAATGCGCACTAGCTATGTGTCAGTAGGTCTATAGAATATGTGTATTTAAGACATTTGTAACGAACCCCTGTTGAACAGTGCAGTGTAACAGACGATATTTCTGATAAATTGCATGAGCGTTAAAATTGTTTCCATTACAGGCATTGGTGATTTCAACCGATGTGCATTTTGTACGATATTGCAGACCTTGGTCTTGCTTTCATTGTAATAAATGTGTTGTTTTTTTATTTTTTTTATTTTGCACATTAATTTACGATGTCATTTTCAAATCTCACAATGCCCAGCGATATTTCAGCAGCCGTCATGTTTATTTATATTGGATATTGTAGTTCTGGTCAGTGTTGTATTAATACACTAAGAATTTTTTCTCGTGATGCATGGTTATTAAAGTCCCATCAACGACACAGCTTTCAAAGAGGCTATATAGTGACAATGCCATGCAAATGTAAATATATAGATATGAAAGCAAGGGTTTCATATGTAGACAGTAGCTGGCAAAAATACCCTCCTACTACAGATATTTCACAGGCTAATTTCTTGAACAAAAGTTAAAAGAATGGTAATGGGCTACTATGAAATTTACTGAAATTGTTAAGCTTATTTTCAGTTGGATACATTCAACTTAAAATCTTATTCGTATTGAAACCTGTGTGAAAGTGAGTTGCTATGTGTTAAGTTACAGCTGCTTGCTGTGTTGTATGTCCACAGGGAACACTGGAAAACCATTAATCACCTGTTGGTAGGTTTTGGCCAGCAGACTTGCCTGCCCGTCAGACCAAAGTGTGCTTCCTGTCTCAACCAGCAGATCTGTGCTGTCGGCAGGGCAAATGTGAAAAAAATGGGGGTCAAGATCAAGAAGGAAAACAACATGAAAATTGAAAAAGAAGAAAGATAAACTCATTAGAATGCTTTTTGATGTAATCTAAATGAAACGAAAATCAAATGTCAGAATTGTAAATCTGAGAAATAGAGTTAATGTCATGATCCTAAGTCGGAACACACAAATTCTCTTGCAATTTAATTATTGCAAATTTGCTAATTTTAAAAAAAAGGAGAGATTTTGTAGTTATGGTAATTACATCTATTGACATTTTGATATGAGATTTTTGTTTCAGTTTGGTTGTTGTTATACTTGTTATTTGAGATGTTAGTGAAAGTTGTTAATTGATTTGGTAGTATATGTACTCTTTTGTAGGGAGTACTGGGGCAAGATTGATCTTCTATTGGTGGGCTTCGGTCAGCAGATATGCACAGCCAGCAAGCCAATGTGTGCTACCTGTCTAAACCAGCAGATATGTGCTGTCGGCAGGGCAAATGTCAAAACCTCAAAAGTCAAACAAGAACAGATCAAAATAAAGGAAGAGTCATAATCTTATTTCACAATGTGAAGATTACAAGTCTAAGGCAAAATGTCATCATTGGAGCAAGCATCTGGTGTTGTGTTAACATTTAGACCAAAAAGTAAATCTGAAGATCACAAAATATCAATTACATGTTTTTCTTTCATCATGTACATGTTATGAAAAATAATAGTTTGATTTTTGTACACTGTATAGTGACAGAATTATGGTCCTCTATGCTGGTTATGAAGTCAGGGAATCAAATGTACAGATTGTATTATATTGTAATGGTTTGGATATATAGTGAGTCTTTCTATTCTTTATATATAAGTGTCCTGACCATACTGATGCATGTCTTTGATTCATTTGATATAGTGACACACTTTTATAAATACCATCTAAAGGAGAAAGAAAAATGGTCTTTATAGACAGGTTAGTAATGAAGAATCACTCAGAGACACATACAACTGGTATTCATAGTCAGGTGTTAGTTTTAGTCAGGTGGTAACTATAGATAAAGATTATAAATATACAGGTGGCCTCTAGTACAGGTTTGACTGAATCTTATAGAGGCTCATACTGTATATATATACAGTAGTAAATGTGTTGTTTAGTTTAAAAAAAAACATCCTCCAAGGTAATTGTACTAGTTCCCAAACTTCCATGTTTGACAACTATGTCCCAACTGTAAGAGCACTTGTATACTTGTTGGTAAAGCGCTACTAGCAGCTTATACTGATAAAGATCAATTGTATATCTACCTCAGTAATGTTAATGTAGGTCTTATTCATTGGGATGTATATTAATAAAAGAAATCTGTAACAAATGTGATGGTGAGTTGTTATAAGTTTTAAGTGTGTGTTATGCTGGTCACCAACTACAGTGAGTATTACTCCGGTTACTTACAATATAGTGTTGTATTCCGGTTACTTACAATGTTGTTCTCCGGTTACTTACAATAGTGTTGTACTCCGGTTACTTACAATATTGTTGTACTCCAGTTACTTACAATAGTGTTGTACTCCAGTTACTTACAATAGTGTTGTACTCTGGTGACGTGAGTGCATTTCACATATGACATGAGTACATTTTACGACACTGATAATTAACAGCAGTGTGCATGTTTAGGTCAGTGTCTACGGCAGTGTATCTTACCTTTGTCTCTCATGACACTGTATGTGTTGTGTTCACTGAATGACTGGTGATCTATTATGAACTCAGTGAGTTAAACTCAAGTCTTTGAAATTGTTATTTATTTCTCATTTCCAGAGGACAGAGAGAGCAATCTGTTCAAGCAGCAGATAAAGGAAGCCATCTGGATACGCCATAGTGAGCTAGTTCTAAATCGAGACGAGGGGGCTCAAAGACTCTCTCACATCTATGACCAAGTATTAAACAACGCCTTCCTGAATCGACTCATTTCGGTACATATATAACAACTATTTTACATAATTATGCTTACAGCATAGCCGAAATCAACATCGACTTTGTGGACAACTTTTACACCTTTGTGTGCAGACAGACTGATCATTTGTCTGATGAAGGTGACAGTGTACATATCGTACTAGATTAAAACGTCACGTAGAAATTTTTATTGGTTGTGTAAAAAAGAACTTGAACAACCTGAAGAAAATGTTCATACATTTTTCACTTCCCTTCAATGAAATCCATTCTGGGTAACTTTCGTCAGTTATTGCCATTTGACTATATTCGGTGAGAATTTGTCTTCTACATATACCTATAAATGATATCATCTGTGGTGACATTTTCTTACCTACATCAATGGAGGGGAAGTGCTGACATTGTGTCTACTGTTCAAGAAGGGAGACTGAGGAGATCCAACCAATTAACCTGTTTTAGCATTATCTTTAGTAGAAACAACAAAAAAGCACTTGTATAAAAGTATGTATCAAGCCGGGAATCCTGTAAAGATGTCTCAAAGACAAACGAAGGCTAAGAACAGACAAAGACAACTTAATGTAGTAGGGTGGCATATGACTCTTTCTCTTGTGAAGAAACAACTTACGCCCAGCTATAAGTACAACAAAGGTTTTTTTGAGAGGTAGGGGAAGATGAAAGCTCACCAAGGCAGTCAACACTGTTACTACTATATGCTACAACACCAATCTTGGACAGAAGGGAAGGAGATGGAAACCAGAATAAAGTGTTGGGCATTCTATAAAACCTCGGGAGGGTTATGGATCCATCAGGCGATAGCAAAGAGCCTACTTGAAGAAATAGAATATGCATGTAGAAATGTTGCAAATTACGCAAAAATGAAACTAGAACTTAGGCTAACTTATACATGTACCCCCCACTCCCAAATAAACAAGAAATGTGAGCTACAGGCTAACTAAGGTAAAATATTGCAAAGCAATCAGTAAAGATTTCTTTATTAGTCCCCTACCGGTAAAACGGAGGGGACTATAGGTTTTGTCTGCGTCCGTCTGTCCTTCGCCAAAATCTGCAGGTTAAGGTTTGGGTTAAAGTTTTGTAATGGCTTACCATTCGCTTAATAATGATGTTAGGATGCTGATTCCTAGCATAAAGGTTCTTCAGAGGTCTAGCATTAATGCTGTGGATTGAAAATGGAAAATAATTTTAATTTTTTGGGGAATTTTTGACATGTTTTGGACTTAACGATCCTGGCTAAAATCTTCAGGTTAAAGTTTTTGGTTAAAGTTTTGTAATGGCTTACCATTCGCTTAATAATGATGTTAGAATGCTGATTCTTAGCATAGAGGTTCTTTAGGGGTCTAGCATTAATGCTAGAACACCAACTCTGGAGAATTGAAAGGAAGGTGTTGATATAGGAAATCCTTTGAAGTTTAGTTATAGCCTGTTTCAACTAAGAATGTCAACTCTTTTTGTAGATATGATACTAAAGTCAATAATAAAATGGATAAAAAGTTCCTACATATAACTGTAATACACATTTAATACAGCACTAAAAGATAGCCATTATTAAACATAAATATAAACAGTAAACCTAAAGTAGATGAAGAATTGTGCACGAATCATGATGATTTTAGTTGGAATGGATTTTTGGAATTCAGAAGATGAAAATGCAAGGGGCCAGATTGTAAGGATTCTAATCTGGGATCTCCGAACTCTAGACAGGCGCTCTACCAATTATACGCTACTCCGGCCTCCGGCAATCGACCCAGTCCAGTTCTACCACATGCACTTAATAAATAAATCATAGATGTGATTCAAATTATTTACTATGTATAAAGTGGATGCATTCCAACTCTTAAATGGGGAAATAACGGGATACAGTGCGCACCGAAGCTGGTGCAGAGTCCGGGGGAAATTGCAGGTTTTAGGTTCCGACTCTCTCCATACAAAAATTGTTGTGAAAAAGAGTATTTTGGACTACATGTATATCAATATGTAATTGTAACTATGTGTCAAAGGTGACAGCTAAATATTATTTGATTTGTTCCAATGTAGGAACAACTTTTTTATTTTTTTTTGAAAAAATGGAATGGAAAATCGCTGAAAATTAACGGCTTTTTTTTTATTAAGAAATCTGTTTAATCTGAAAAAAAATACATACCTATACCTACCAACTGAAAAAAATCGAATAGCGAAAACTTTTTTGTTAGAATTGCCCAAATGGTATACATTTAATTATACTGCAGAAATCTGAGATCTGCCCGGCTAAAACAAAACGACTGTAAGAGACAGGAGTGTGTAATTTACTTCATTTCACTGGGCACTTAGAATATACCTTTGTATAACCGTCTCGGAAAACAATTCCCATGCTTCATAAGTCAGAATCATTTTCCGTTAGGGGCTTCCCCCCAGCATCAACAAAACCGTCAAGTCATCAGAAACCTCAAACGTTGCCTCGTCGAATGTCGTAAAACAGTCTACCTCTGCCTTGTTAGGTCCATCCTTGAGTACGGATCAGGCATGTGGGACCCCTACCTACAACAAGACATAAACAGACTCGAGCAAGTGCAAAGGAGGGCAGCAAGGTTTATCTCCGGAGACTTTCGTTCACGAGAGGAATGATGTGTGACCAAAATGTAAGAGACGCGGGCCTGTTCCAACTAGCAGAACGACGTCGAATGCTTCGCCTGGTTATGTTCTATAAAAGTGATCGAGGGTATGTGGTGCCAGCCTTACCTTCGCATGAACGTTGAAAATTGGCCCCTGTTGAAAATGGAACCAGGGTCAGTTTTCAACGTTGAAAATGCAACCGGGTAGCCGTTGATAACTGCCTCTCCCCGTTAAAAATGGACTCCATAAGAGGTCAATTTTCCACGTGTAAGCCGTTGAAAACTGACCCTTTCTTTGTCCGAAGTACCGAAGTGATCTCATGTACCTACATGTATGCGTCCATCGTCCGACCAAATCTTACAGCACCTATCATATCCATGGTAGGTGCTGTAAGTACATATGAAATTTCAGAGAGATCCATCCATTACTCGAGATATAATAAAATTTCAAACAGAGCCCCACCCCTATGCCCCTAGGGGGGTCATACCAACCGTTTATACAAAATTGAGTCCCCTT